GTGTGTGTGTGTGTCTGTGTGTGTGTGTGTCTGTGTTGCATTTGTGCTGATAAATGCAACACAAATGTAACAAGGCAACATAAAAAATGGCTTTCTGCCTGCATGGCTCCCAGAGTGAGCCGATAGACAGAAAAGGGAAGCAGTATGCTCCCTCCCATATTTGGGCATACCAGGGGTTATACATATATATATATATATATATTCAAGTTTGATAACACTTTTGTCTGGAGAAAAAATTAAAGTTATTACTGAGTGCTGCTGCTTTTGTTCCTATTGCTTCGGGGGAAAAAAGAAAAATAGCAAACCTTTCGGAAATTAAGAGGGCTGATTCACAGAGCTTGGAGAACAAGCCGAACACTTCATCGGTGTGCAAATGAAACGTCGTTATGGCACTGGAGACGTGAAAAAGAGACGCAGGATTATGGAAGGAAGGAACACGGTGTTGCCATCATAAAAAATAGGACTTTCATGGACATCTACTTTTAGACTTTCTAAAGTGCGACGGGGAGTAAAATCTAAAGGTGGGCCTATTTTTAAAAAAAGTTGAATTAGTATTTAGACAGTAATGAGTTCTTGCTGGAGACCAAGGCTTTTCAGATAGGAAAAAAATATATATCTGTTTTATTTTTTATTTTTCAAGAATCACTCTCTCGTCGTGGTCCTCTGGCAATTGTAGTTTAGGATCCCTTCTGTGAAACCTAGGCCAGTGCCCCCCTCCCAACCTTTTGGGCACCAGGGACCAGTTCCATCCTCCCCACCATTTATGTGGGGTGTGTGTGTGGGTTTTTCTGTGGCCTGCATCCCACAGATGGGACTTTGCTGGTTTGCATGGACCGGTTTCTGGCATACCACAGCCCGATTCCGGTCAACAGGCCGGGGAGGAGGGGGGGGGAGGTTGGAGACCCCTGACCTAGGTGATATTTGGAGATCCAATTCTGTAGGTGGGGGCCTGTCTGGGAGAGGAATCGATCTCAGCCCAGGTTTCCGAACGTAATTCCACTCTTAATTTCTCCGTGTACGGAAATATGGTTGGCTCACAAAATGGACGTAAAAAATGATTCTGCTTTAGCGAACTCACTAGGGTGCCTCATCATGAATTATGATACTAACATTGGACACATTTGGTTCTCTTGTTTTTTTTTTTCATTTTCCCCCAAAAAGTGTTAACAGTAGAGACATAGCATGGATTTACAATGTCAATGCTTCAACCCCTGTCTAGATATGCCGAGAACTATTTATTTACAACATTGAGTTCAGATAAAATATTCTATTTTTTTTTTCCACTTTTCACTTTCCCCGTGCAGTTTTTATTTAAGGCGATGTTCCAGTTTATGATTGCTCTAACTTCTTCCAGTTTCTCGATATAAAGTCTGAATTGGAAAAAAAAAAGAAAAAAGAAGAGAGAAGTCATTTCCAAGACCATCATGCAGTGGGAAACGTCAAGAGTAAAGCTACACTGCATGGGGGGGTCAACCGTCCCTTTCATATTAATTTTGGTTTCTTCCGTAGCTGCCAAAGTCTCTAAAATGAAACTGGGGACTTCAAGGTCACGTTTAGATACTCTTTTATCTTCCATGAACGTATTAAGACGCAGATGCATGTTATGCATGTTGTCGCAGAGTTACACGTTAACGGCTTTTCGTTTTGTTTTGTTTCCCGTCATTTCGAGCGGATGAGTTAAAATAAATTAAAATGAGGGGAGGGGGGAGGCAGAAATAGAGGGGCTTGTTTCTGCATCCCCGCGGACCACGAGAAGGCAGCAGTCGCGGATGGCTTATCTGCTCATGGCAGAAGGGGTGGATTTTAAGATCCCGGGTAACTTATCGGAGCCAGGGATTTTCCATGGCCCCGGAGAGACCGTTGCCTTCCGAGCGGTGGGGTTGGGGTTGTGGGTCGGGATGGGGTGGGCGTGTCCCTTCCATGGGAATTCGCCGGGCTTCCTCTCGGGTTCTTTCAGGCTGTGATCCACGTCACTTCCGTGGGAGCTGCAACTATTGCTACTATACGCCTTGGTAGCACCAATGGAATCCAACTTGACGTGCTCGGTTGACTTCTTCTCCGCCGCCACCGTGACGTAAGGATCCTTTCCTCCAAGGGATCCTCCTCGTTTGCTCTTGGATCTCCCAACCCATTCCTCGTTGGTTCCAGCACATCCATGTCCTCTGACACCATCCTCGGCCATTGGGTTGAGTCCTCCTGCCTTAGTTTCCGGCAACGGCCTTCCGCTCTCCGTACTCTTGCCTTCCGAGCTTGTTTTCCGCCATACCTCTTCGTGTTTTGACCTATCTACCTTCTTGGGACTGGCAGGCCGCTCCGTCTGTTCGCCTAACCTTTTCTTCCTGTGGCCGTTGACCGGAAACTCCTTTGGCTTGTTGACGTGATGTTCCCTCTTGATATCCCAAGCTGAGTCTGGGCTTATCTGGCAGGAAGGGTCAGAGGGTTGGGCTAGATGCGATGAAGATAATGGCAGGACAATGTCATCGGGGGAAAGAGTTATTTCCGACAGACCTGGGGAGGTGGCAGCGGGGGCCCTCCAGGAGTTTGGTTCGTCTGTTTGAACGAAGAGAAACAAGGTTAGTTCCGAAATCCCCCCCCTGTTGAGTATTCATTACAACACTTAACGACGGTTCAACAAGGAAGCCGCCTCCGTCGTTTTCAAAAGCTTGGTGAAAAGGAGGGAGGAGACACAGCAATTAAGTGAAGTCACGTCAATAGAAATCCCAACCGAGGTAAGGCAATGCCTTGCTCTTCTAGAGCTACATCTCTCAACAGGGGGTGGTTCCCCCCCACTCACAAAAGTTAGCCATGGTGGATCATTGACTCTAAAGGAGGAGGAGGAGGAGGAAGAAGGAGGAGGAGGAAGAGGAAGAGGAGGAGGAGGAGAGGAGGAGGAGGAGAGGAGGAGGAAGAAGAAGAAGGAGGAGGAGGGTTCTCCATCACTGGAGATTTTTGAGAAGAGAAGAGAAATAGGCAATAGAATAGAATAGAATAAAGGGAGGGGGGAGAGGAGGAGAAGGAGGAGGAGAAGGAGAATGTGGGTGCTTCATCACTGAAGGTTTTTGAGAAGAGGAATAGGAATAGGCAATAGAATAGAATAAGGGAGGAGGGAGGAGAAGAAGGAGGAGGAGGAGGGTCACTGGAGGTTTTAGAGAAGAGAAGAGGAATAGGCAATAGAATAGAATAGAATAAGGGAGGAGGGAGGAGGAGGAGAAGAAGGAGAAGGAGAATGTGGGTGCTTCACTGAAGGTTTTTGAGAAGAGAAGAGGAATAGGCAATAGAATAGAATAAGGGAGGAGTGGGAGAAGGAGGAGGAGGAGGAGAAGAAGAAGGAGGAGGAGGAGGAGGAGGAGAAGAAGAAGAAGAAGAAGAAGAAGAAGAAGAAGAAGAAGAAGAAGAAGAAGAAGAAGAAGAAGAAGAAGAAGAAG